TTAGATTATACCGCTTTTAAAAATCGCGCTTTGTTTGTTATTGACTGTTCCAAACAAGAGGAAACCATGAAATCATCAACTGTTGATGTTAGATTGGATATCGAAGCCGATACTGGCTTTCCAACCAACACCAAGGCCTACTGCATCATTATACATGACTGCTTAATCGAGTACTTCCCCCTCACCGAAGTTATTAAAACCATCTCGTAAGCAACGAAGGACTCTCAGTTCCGCATCAGACATCATGAGGATCGCGTTTGTTGACATTCAAGGCTTTACAGTTGACGGATTATTCGTACCTAAAGAACTATGTATCGAAATTGGTTTCAAGAAAAGTCATTACATCTTTACACCTCCGCAACCTTTTTCTACATTAAATACTAAAGACAAGAAAACTGTCGCTTACTTGGAGAAGAATTTCCATGGGCTTAAATATTCTTCCGGCGACGTTAAATATTCCAAGTTAAATGAAATAATTAAAAATAAGGTGATATATGCGGCTGACTATGTCTACGTTCGTGGAGAACAGAAAGCAAACTTTTTACTCAAGAAATGTCACATTTTTGGTGTTTTTCCCAACATTATTGATGTTTGCAAGTATGATGGTACACCGTGTGCTACTGGAAACTTTGTTGCTGATTCCAATCCATGCCACACCAACGGACAATTTTCCTGTACCCAGAGAAATGTTGAACGTCTACGCCACTGGTTTTCAAATATCATATTACCTATGTAGTTTTTTTCTATTTTCAATAAAATATTAAACGTATTATTGTAGTTTTATTGAAAATACCTCTGGTTTGCGAAATAATTGTCAGAATGTCTATACTATTTTCATTTTGAACGGTATCATCCTGTATAATAATAACAGTACATCGTATACAGGTTATGAGACATTCTGACCGACCGACCGACCGACCAGAGGAGCCCACCACGCTATTTAGGTCACGCCTTGCTATATACGATTTAACGATATACCGTCGGTCCATCGATCCGCTATTTTTCGATGCACCCCTGTATACACGTTGCCCCCCGTAATCCACGCCAACACCAGACAGGTGCGACATCGGCGCCATCTATGCGCGAGATGCCCAACCCATCAATGGCAGCTGTCCAATGACGCATAGATTCCGTTAGGTTTGTACACCGCCAAACAAATCTACGCCATTTATGCGCGAGATGCCCAACCCATCAATGACAGGTGTCCAATGACGTATGACAGATGACGTTTTAACGCCATCTATGCGTGAGATGCCCAATGACGCATGACAGGTGTCCAATGACACACAGATTCCGTTTGGTTTGACAGCGCCATCTAGCGGCGGAATCCCCAACTCATGAATTTCGATTACAGATTCCGTCCAACAACCTGTCAATGGCGCGCGACGCCAGCGCCTCTGGTGGCGGATTTTGGAAGTTTTGAGACCGAATCCCCATAAGACATCTACTAACAGGTGTGCCCAAAAGTACAGCCCATAGAATCTTGCAAAAAAACGTGCTCGATACATACCACGTACAGCGTGTTCAAGCTCTTCTGCCCCGGGATTATGAGCCCCGAGTTGCTTTTTGTCGCACAATGTTAGAAAGACACAGGGAAGATCCACGGTTCTTTGAAAAAATTTTATGGTCAGATGAGACCACATTTAAGAAACATGGGTACATGAACCTGCATAACTTACACGAGTGGCACGTAGCAAACCCACATTTGATGAGAGAAGATAAATCTCAATATCGCTTCAAGATAAACCATTGGACAGGAATTTTAAATGGTAAAATAATCGGTCCGTTTGAGTTCCCAGAGACTTTGACTGCTGAGGTTTATTTAGGTTTTTTGCAAAATCATTTAGAAAATTTATTGGAGGACGTGCCACTGAGTATTTACAGGGCCATGTGGTTTCAGCATGATGGCTGCCCAGCACACTATGCACTCTCAGTGAGAGAGTATCTCGATCAAAACTTTCCAGGCAGATGGATAGGACGGTCTGGTACAATACCGTGGCCAGCCCGGTCACCAGATTTGAATCCGTTAGATTTTTTTTACTGGGGAACTGTAAAAGAAAAAGTGTATTTCAAGCCGATTCAAAATGTAGCTGAGCTACGGCAAAGACTATTGGAAGCAGCTGAGTTTGTTAATAACCGTGGATTCGCTCGTTTAATAACCCGATCTTTTTTAAGAAGATGCCGAGCGTGTATTGCGGCTGAAGGAAAACAGTTTGAGCATTTGCTGTAAAGGTAAATCATCATCAGCAGCATTTTGACGCCCACTGTTTGCAAACAGTTATCCTTAAGGGTCCTTGTGCGTTTTCATAATCGCTGTTTAATTAGGAAATTTTGAAAATTTTTGCATAAGTTAACGAGTAATCTTCTAAGTGTTATACCATTTTGGAATCGTTATTAAATGCGCCAACTTTTAAGGTTACTTGCCAAACTCTCGTAGTACATTTTTTTCCAGTACAGCCAGTTAAAGTTGAGCAAAGTTTTACTTTGGAATACTTGGTTGGGAAACAAGTGGCAATTTTTCCTGAACGAGAAAAGTTGGCAGTAAGGTTGAGACACCAGTTTGAAGATGAATTATTCATCATTACATTGTAAAAATAAAATCCAAAAAAGTTAATATTTGTAGTAACAGGAGTTGACAGACTGCCCTAGGGTGTGAAATTTCTATATTTTTTTCAAAGACCTATAATTTTCAAAACACATACATAAAAATTTTTTAAATATTTTTCTGCTAGCTGTTATGACTTTACCTATCACCCGGTTTCGGCTTGACGTCGACTTCTGGGACACCCTGTATAGGAATGAGTTAATGAAAAGAAAACACCTAGAAGACAGATGTCATTGTACCGAAGATCACCTTTGTGATAAGGGTCTTTTCATTCATATGAAAAACTTCAATCAAATGCTCATCACATCCTTTCGATCGTGGGTATGACGTCACAGCAAAAGCTGTTTAACAGAGGTTACATCTGAACCTAAAACCATACTATGGAATACGTTTAACAGCCAGTTGCCCTCAGAAGAAATGGAAGTATACCTAATTTCCACTTTGGAGAAACTTGACACCCACATCACAACACCAAAACACCACTGACAGACAATCGAGAAACCTATAGTGAACACCACTACTGAAAGAATGTAGCTAAACCGAATAGAGCTCGATACGAAGCTGAGAACGCGTAGACATTCCGCTGCGCCGACGGTTGCCGAGAGACTGAAGCGTCGAAGCGTGCGAGTGCTGTACCTCGGTACGGCCGGGTAGTACAGCCACGCCCCTTTCCAGCTCCCACTCCGCGCGTCTGCTCCCGAAGCGACTCGATGTTTACGTTGACCGGTAGCACTCACACGCTTCAGTCTCTCGGCAACCGCCGGCGCAGCGGAATGTCTAGGCGTTCACAGCTCCGTGGAGAGCTCTATTCGGTTTAGCTACTTTTTTTCAGTAGTGGTGTTCACTATAGGGTTCTTGATTGTGTCTCAGTATTGCTTTGGTGTTTTAGTGTTGTGACGTGGGTGTCAAGTGTCTTCAAAGTGGAAATTAGGTCTACCTCCAACTCTTCTGAGGGAAACAGGATATATGCGCAGCCAGGTCAGCCTTGCATACTCATCTAGTTGTGTGTTAGGGTTGACATCATTTTTTTTTTAAAATAAATTGCATACACTGAGAGATTAGTCATATACTGAGGTATATCTCAATCGCCACATCAATATCAGTCAAACAATCACATCCAAAGCGACTCACTTTTACTACATAAGCTGACTAGCACTGTTTAAAAAACAATATTACAAAATCTAGCTTAGCGGCGTTTTCTGCCTTGCTAGGAGGCCATAATACTTGTTATCAAAGGTATTGTAATCTTTGGTGACAAGTTTCACATGTTACATTATTGATTAACGTATTCTCAAAAAAGATGATCAACCCTTCTGAGATCACCTCTCGTCCTAAGATCTTGTAACATGCGGCTATAGGCTGAGGAGGTGTCAACGCTGACACCTAAAGATGGTGCTCGATGGGTGTATAGTTGTAAGAATAAGTGGTTGATACGTACGCTTATTCTCGCGTAGGTATGGCTTTTGACTGGATTGGGTATCTTCTAGTGGAATATGTTAATGGTTATAAGGTGATGTTTCGCGCCGTGACAGCGACAAGGGTCAAGGACAGGGACCAAGCCTGATACCGAATTGTAAGACAAGTGACATACTAGTGAAACAGTTACGATATTTTCAAAGTGAAATATTAAAAATTAAATTTGCTTCTCATACATTTCTAAATTTGGATTTGAGCATTTCACAGTGAGAGTGACATTTCTGTATCAATGTCACTAGTCCTGCAAATTGGTCTCAGCCCCTGTCACTGTTGCTGCTCTCCTAGGAAACAATTTTGGCACGAAAGTTTGTTTGCATTTTAAAGAACGAGTCTTATGTCATATTTATGATTCAAATACAACAAAGCATCTAATATCTGATTTAAAGCATAGTTGTTGAGAAAGTGTAAAGACCCTGCCCTTTTTGGAGGCAAATAATGCCTTGAAAATATCCCATTATAATATAATACCACATTTGCATCTGACTTTACGGAAATGGTCATGAGACATCATGCTTATTGGAAAACCCCGTATAAAGTAGGCAAAAAACGAAACCAGACTAAATGGAAGGTGCCAATCAACGATGTGTCTGTCACTTAATTCTCACAGTCTGTAGTCAGGATTAAAATGCACTTGACATAAGTCGATTTTTTGACAGTTCTGCCATTAAATTCCTATTTTTAGGCCCGTATCGTCAGTTGTTCCTACAATTGTAGGACGCCTTTATGGCCTCCTTGATTTTCATAGTTTTCTACTTTTTCGTGTCAGCGCTCTATTTTGAGGTTATGTCACAAACATCTATTTGCATCAAACTGTTCATGCTTTTGATTTATATGGTGTCTTATCAGCCTGAAATTTCCTTCAATTCAAATGGAAAACATAACTTCACAATAGGAGAGCGTTGACGCTCACACCGAACAGGTGCAATCTAGAAATTCTGGAAGGAGAGAAAAGACTATGACAATCAAGGAGGCCATAAGGGCGTCCCACAATTGTAGGAACAACTGACGGTACGGCCCTAAGTGTTATTTAAAAAAAAAATGCGAGTGTTTGAAGATAACTTGCAAAGAGCGACACAAGTCTAATATATGTTTCTGCTGCTATTATTATGATGTTGAACGCTGTCACTTCCATAGGCGCCGGTAGACAAATGAGTCAAAAGTATACACTAAAACTAAGCAAACTTGGCGACAAACAATGCAAAGTAAACATATGGACTAGGCTCCTAACCTATTCGAATTCATTGGAAAAAATGCGTACCTTAACCATTTCAATGGTAGGCATGTTACACGGAGCAGCCGCGATGGCATTTGGGGGCGTCGACACAGGCAAACAGTAGGCATAAGAACAGCATAGAGCGGCTGGCATCATTAAACTCATCGGGTGCTTTTTCGCTACCTGTAAAAAAAAATGTTATTGTTAAAAAAGCTTTGACATGTTCCCTTGGATAGACATTGGCTCTGTATCATCGACGTTGAAGAGTGAGAATTCCACTATACCGGTTAAAATGCAACTAGCAACTTGGAAGAAGTGAGGTTTGCAAGATGCCTTGATAACAGTGCCTATCTAACGGACGTCGTCAGGTTTATTTACTGCTGCTTTCCATATTGTAGCTAGCAGTTGCATTTTGCCAGGTTGTCAGTTGTATTTCCTTCATATACAAATAAGCCGCCAATATATATATATATATATATATATATATATATATATATATAACTTGAGACGTGGTCATTGTCGTCTAGACCAGTTAGGTGAAAAATTAAAGCTTCCGCCTTTTGTACCATTTATCCAGCTTTCACCATGTTACTGGGTGTTTCCCTCATCCTTAACGTAAACAACAATTAGCAACATCCTCACATACTACTGTAAGTTAATTTAAATTCATTTTACACGATTGTTGCTACTGCTATCAATGTAATTGCAGCTCCTGATGATGATGGCAAAGACCATTGAAAGCTAGAGAGAATAAAAAAAGTATAAAGAGTCCTCCTTGCTTAAATTTTGTCGAAGCACCCAACAAAAGGCGGAAGCTTTAATTTTTCACCTAACTGGTCTAGACGACAATGACCACGTCTCAAGTTATATATCTATATATCCTTGAATTTCTTTGGGTAGAAGGCAAACTTTCGCACAAATACACTCTTACAACTTGAACTCGGTCAATACTTTCGATTGAATCCCAAAAAACCCGTCTTCTCATTCTTTGTCCAAGCAAGTTGTGGTACTGACAATGACAAGCATAAAAACATGGAAGACGAGAAAATATTCAAGGCGGTGAGGCAAGTTAAATAAATGTATGTGAGAAAGACGGATGTATGAAAATAATGTCTGTAGTTATATTAGGAAAAACCGTTAAAATACCTATACGTCTTTGGGGCTACTACGTTTCAGCATATTGGATATTCTGGACTAATTTCTTTAGCTCATCGTTAATACGCCAAAATAGCTAAGTTTTGCCTTTTGCCTTAATGAGATTGATAAAGGTTTGTCCGCCACTGCATTTTATATTGCGCATATGTTATCTATAGACCCGGGAATTTAATAATAGATCGTTTTACGGCGGATTAAAGCAATCACCTTCTGTGGCTTCATTTGGATAATATGCATCTAAGCAATATATTCTTCAAACTTGAAATTGCCACGGGCACGGTTTACTGATATGGCCGCGTCATGTTTTGCAATGGTTCTCCAAATGCTTAAAAACAAAATTCCGAAGTACCCCTTGGGACATATTTACGTTTTCTATATATTATAGGTTTTTAAAATGAATACTTACCACAGATATTTCCGACAACACTGGTAAAATAACAGTTGCCACAGCCACGTTGCTAGAGAATTGTGTCAGGAAGGCTCCCATCAGGCCTGAGATCATCATTACGTAGACAATGTCTAAATTTGCAAAGTCCTTCAACTGTTCTGCAATTAAAGAGCTCATTCCACTTTTCTGAAAACAAATTGACACTTTTAATTTTCATACCTATTATTTTGTTTGGGTTCAATCTGAGGAAATCTTGAAAAGCAGAGACTGACAGTTTTTATTATTATCTTTTAGGTATTTGTGGAAAATATACCAGATGTTTCAAATTCGACCCTCATCATTGGGATTTCTTGTAAAAGATACGAAGTTGTTCAATGGGGTCAAAGTTATGTATTTAGGTAATGGCATTTAGAAAATTTTGTAATCCTGTGTATTTCCAGAATCCCTCCTATTTTTTCCTGATCTTATTTGAGAAGGGATTCCAAAGCAAATTGCACATGAATATTGTCATCTTTATCATAATTAGAATTTCAATGTGACGTAAAGTTTGTTGCCTTCCATCATCCGCATTTGTTTTTCTTATGGACGCCATAATGGAATACTGATTTTATAACTAGAATTTTCAACACTAATGCACGAAATGTACAGGGTGGGGCATCGAAAAGGAAGCAGACGCATTTCCTGGCAGCTCAGTTTTTTTTTTTGAAAAACGCTCAGACCCGTCAATTTTATTTTCGAGGGGGACACAAGTTTGGCAAAAAATCACGTTAGCACGTGAAGCCCCCTAAGCGGGGGTGACACCACATCCAAAATCGTAAATGGAAAGAGGGGTCGAGTGATACCTTATTTTAAAGGTCTTTCAATTCCCTTTATAATGATGCAAAATACATGAGCTTCAGTTCAGTAGTTTTGAAGATTTATCGATTTAAAGCTTAAAGTAGACTTTAATAGGTACATCAGATTAGTTTGTACTACTTTCAGAAGAAATTTGACTTAAAGAATTTGCTTAATAGGTAAACGCTTTTCTTCACTTCGCCCATGGTTTGTTTATCATTTTGTTGCTATTGGAGCAATTTTTGTGGCAAAAAAGTTATTTCTTGAAGAAAGATAAGGAAATATCTCGTACTTATTTTAAATAGGAATTTAGTACATAGTTTGCGATTCGTTTCGTTTTCGATGCGCCACTCTGTATATTAAACTGGATTGGACATTATTCACCAACAAGCAGAAATACGTATTGCTCCGGTTACCTATCTTTTTTCTGCCCGAGGCCTCTTTCTTTCTTTTTGCGGAATTGCCCATGTTTTTTTTCCATTTGTTCTAATAATTCTAAAATAGTAATGGTATAACAGATTCGGAAACCAGAATTTTTAACTTCATCCAATCGCTCTAGCGTCCTGAAGATCCCTCTCTGTAAGCTCAGCAAACTTACTTGAAAGTCCATCTTGACTTTAAAGAGTGGTAACGGTGAACATCTTACCTTTGATGCTTCGGCCATCGCGAATCCACCTCCCAGTAGAAAAATCAGGCCCCATGGCATTCGTTGTTGGACCAATTTCCATGAAACTAACGATGGGGCGGACTGCTTAGGCCTCTTGTTTTCATCTTTACTAAACATGTAAATGAAGTCATAGTTGGCTGGCAGGATGAACAAGAACATACAGACTACTAGAGCTGGTGTTGCGTCTCTTATCTAGAAAGAATAGCACAATTTTCTGTCCTCAAATAGCTTATGTTCGACTTGTTCTCAAACTTAAAACCATATGAACTATAATTAAAAAATATAAATCGCATGAGATATTGAGTAAACCTACTTGACACAGATTAAATTAGATGAATTAAGGGAGCGGCACAAACCTTACGGAAATCAGCCCGGCACGGGTATCATGTAAAAAACCTAAAAAACGTCAAAAAAACTATAAGATGTCAACTTGCAGACTAGGTAGTTTTTAGGGCGCAAATAGTCATTCCACGTTTGCTCACTAGGGTCGTTGTGAACGTCCATCTCTGAAGGAATCACTCAACTAAACTACACGCGATATGGGTTGCATAGTTTTTTGAGGCTGTGATCCGTGTCTGTAGTTTTTATCTCAGAAGAAAGTTGGTTGAATAGCAAGATCGCATCTGGATGATTTTGTGTGTTGGTCTGCATGTGTATAAAATCAGTGATATTTGCTGTGTGAGAAAATAATTACTGAATATGCTGAATATGACGGGTTATTTACATTTTGTGCTTTCTGAAGAGAGGTTATGTTCAAAGTTATAAATTACGAAAAACTGAGGAGAATTACGGGAAATCATCACCCCGCTCGCGTTGTATGTAATTACTGTTAGCATGTATGTTATATGGCTTGTACTTTAACAGTGTACAGTGAATATAATTACTTCTTATCTCACTCATTTTTGAAATTCAGCAAATTTGTCTATGTAATTTCCAAAATGGATAAGAAAAAGTGGATGCGCAACTAATTTCTAGCTTTGAATCTCAATTAAGTGTACTTGAGACAAGAACCCAATGTAATTATCATCAACACATACAACTTACAGCTTAGACCTTCAGTAATGCCATCTCAGAAGCAGATTTTACATCACATCAGAGCCAAAGATTGATAACAAGCCTCATTACGTTTAGGCAACACGTACATCTATGTGCTAAGTCAATATCTTGTAGAAAAGCCTACATAACGTCAAAAAAAACTAGCATTTTGTAAAGACTCCCCCCCCCGTAAATAAGAATCATGTCCACAAGTTCAGCATTTTCGTAAACATGTGCCATTTTTTATTTCGTTTGAGCCACGCAACAAACACCACTATTCACTCACGCGTTACCGACTGAATCCAACTAAAAACATCGTGATAAGCGTTTCAAATTCTTTCGCTTTATTGTTTCCGATGCGATGAACCGATGCGGATTATATCCGTTGTCGCCAAACACGAGCACATAATATTATTATTGAGACAGGGCGGTACTCAAACTTCTAAAGGGCTATAACTTTGTTACTTTAATTTTACCAGAAAAATGTTAAAGGAAAAAAACATTTCTTTTGATCAGATCTACTCACTGTTAAAATAAATGACTCAACTTCGAAGTCACCCTGTATATATATATGTATATATATATATGTATTTATATGTATATAATAATAATAATAATAATTTTTTTTATTGGAATGTTTATACATAAAAAGATAAAAACGACAACATTTCAAAAGGAAAGAGGATTGGCAGGGCCATTTTTAACCTCCCTCTAAATCATTATATCATGGAAACGCTAAGAGCTCTTGAGGTCTTTTGATCATGATGCACTGGAGAGCTTAAGTATTTATAAAGTTTAAGCAAGGTTTGTGCCCCCTTCTTCCCATGTTTTTTATTTTTGTTTATATAACGAGGAGTAATTTGTTATAGTAGCAGCTTCAGCGAAAGTTGAACAAACTAGAAAAAATTAAGTACGCATGTATAACATATAAAAACGATGGGTCAAATCTATTGGGTTAAGTGGTAACATAAGCTACACTTCGCCCAAATAAATATCATATTATTATTATTTATTATTATATTCAAAAGAACATAGTGAACTCAAATCCCATCTCAAAATATAAAAGAATAAATCGTATTTTTGTTTCAATGAAAAATAGAAAACCTCTATGGATTTTATATCGAATAGGAATATAATATCGAACATCGAATAGTCGAAAACATCGTTATCACTATTCAGAGTCTAATTTATTACTCTGGCATTATTTTATTACAACAGTTGAACACAATTTATTACAAATTTATAACTATGTCGACTGGACTATGGCGATCCGCGCTGTTGCTGACTCATCGGTTGACTCTTCGCCCGCTTCTGCCCTCCGCGTGTGTATTTAACTTCAAATCGACGAGCCCAGAAGCACTCCCGCGTTTTCTAGGCACAACTCGTGCCTTCATCGAAGCTTGCTAGATGGCGATCTATGTTTCTCGAAGCGTGGTGAACGTTCGCGACTTTCGTAATTCTGTATGCCTACGCGCCGATGTACGAGGGTGTCTCATTGGTTATAGTTACGAGGGAATTGCAACATTTAGAACCCTCTAATGAATAACGAATAATGAGCAGGAGTCGTTAAAGCATGAAAATCGCCAAGGGATAGACTTTCAAAACAAAGATTTTTCATCCTTGGCATAGTAGTACCTGTGTATCAAAGAGTTACAGAGAGGTTAACGATTAGCGGACAGACATCTAAAGACATCTAAAACATGTAATATCTAGAGAGACACAATTTTCCGTGATGTTAAGTAATATCCAAAAAATATATTGCACCCCCAATTTTCACCAACTACAAAAACATTTCTGAAAATCATCACGTCATAAAGCGAAGTTTAGGGGCAGACATATTACCTTTGTTTTGGTTATGAATTCCGCCCAGCCCGGCATGAACTGCGGACTTCTGAAGAACCATAAGCCGATAGCTATAACAAATAAAATTGCAACGCAAATCTCGTGAAAACTCATTGGTCCCATCTCTTCTATTTGTTGGTTGATCATTTTCCTTGCTATGGCTTCTCCCTGAAAATAATAGGGATTTATGTATTGCGGGCGTAAATTTGGCGGGCTCTAACTCGCTGATTATGTCCGGGATAAATACAAAAAATCTATCTACGTATAGATTATATAAAAAAATTAAAGTAGCCTTTAACTGGGCATAAAAATAAATAGGCCGTACTATATAACCGGTAATTGAAGTCATTGCCTAGCAACAAATAAATTCAATGTAAATATAGCGGGCGATAAAGGTAGTTTAGCGTTTTAGGGCAAAAAGGAATCCATGGAGGGCAGAAAATTAGACTTTAACATCCGGAAGACTTAAACTACATTTTATCGCCCGATCGTAGATAAATAAGGATATTTTGTCTCAAATACCTGGTATTTTAAATTCGACCTTCACCATTGGGTGGTTTACGAAACAAATGACTATCTGATAATTTCAAGGCCTACCAAGAGCGTTCTATTTTTTTTAAATAACTAAAGTTTGGCAGTGTCAATGTATAACACGTTTTACATTGTTGGAATCAGAATTAAAAACTCTATTCATCTGTGCAAAAATCCAATATGGCGAGCATAAGAAAACATAAAGTTGATACTGAAATTCTGATTACGCCGTCTTATAGAAGAGAAAAGGTGACAATTTTAGTGTCCAATTTATTTTAGAATCCCACTACAAATAAAGCCAGGAAAAAATTGAAACGATTTTGGGAAAATTTGGTTTTTTCCGTCTCTTTCCGAAAGTGCTTTGATTTTCGAAAATTTTTAAGCGGCATTCTGTTAGTTACTTAAATACGCAACTTACGTATCTCTTACCGTTTCCGAGATCCCAATGGTGAGGGTAGCATTTGAAACATGCGGTGTACTCAAAAACAATCTGGGACCAGCTATTTGGTGAAAAATGAGACTTAATGCCCGGAAGACACTTTACCACCTGGTCATGAATAAATACATTTATCTCTCCCTGCGGCAGTAAAGCAACTTTTAGAGGGTTTCTAATAATTTCAAAATATTGAAAATTTGAAGCCAACCCTATTTTTGTTTCCTTGCAAAATCAATTTTTGTGGCTTTTGAAGAAATCTATAGTACTTAGCTAAGAATCAAGAACGGATAAGAAACACATGTATGTATGTATACCTCTTTCCCAACTCTATTGTCTATAGCATCTTTAGAATTTGGCCTGAAGAGTCCCATGAACCAGACCTGCAGGAAAACCACACTCACGTACATGATAATTATCATTATGGGTACGTTGAACATCATCCATTTGGTAAAAGTAAAATCTGTAAAAAAATAAAAAAAAACATGTTGCTTCGTAATACTAATTTCAAAAATATATATAAATATTTAATAATAATAATAATAATTTTTTTACGTCAACTACACATTGTGAACAAATTCATATGCCACAAAATGAAAATATCCTTGTATGTTAATATCTTGCTAAAACTCGCCTACTAATAATTTCATGGCATCTTTGGTAGATACACCTTTTCTAAATCCAAACTGTGAATCAGATATTAATTTGAATTTATCAATAAACTGATCTAGTCGTACTTTCAGGATGTTTTCAAATATCTTGGCCAGATTTGTTATTACAGAATTGAGAATTGTTATTTATTCATGGACTTTCCTGGATAAGAACCAAAAGACCAAGCATTCTGGTTTATCATAGATATACCTTTTTGTCCAGGCGATTTTCGAAATATCTCTTTGGTTCGGAGATAAACAAAACCTTCAAAAATGATACTATTTATAAGCAAAAATCCAATTTGGAGTTTCTCACAAAAACTGTTCAATCTAATTAGAAGTGACCTTCACCCCTCTGTTTGATGGATGAAACGTATTCTATATCAAACTTAGTATGCTTAAAAATATATCGCGAGTGGGGTGGTTAAAAGATTCCTGGTGAGGCTATGGTTATAATTTGAAAAATGACTCTTTGTTAAACATTGCACTAATGAGTTTAACAAATAAATTTAATACCAACCGAAAGTATGAAGCCTATATGCAAAAGTTGGGTTGTCTATTTTTTTTCTTGGCGTAACTACTGGGTTGGCAGGTATAAACAGTTATGTTAATACTAGCTATTTTCACATAATTGTTTAATAAATAAATCTTCAAAATAAGAGCATTTTCATTGCGAACACGTCTGCAAAAAACCTGCTCGAATTGATGGTTGACAAGTTTTTAAAAATGAAATCTTTTATTCGACAATAGTGCTGTAGGTCACAGATTGACTTCTGTCATGTGTTGCCAAATATACTTGTTTGTTTGTTTGCTTAAGATTTATTTAGCATGATTGCTACAATTACATTCTTCTAAAAAACTAAACAATTATATAACATACAGACATGCAGAAAAAAAACAAAGTTTGCATCTCTAAGAATTTTCATTGTCCATGAAATATTCCTTTAATTTTCTTTTAAATATCTTTAATTTACAATAACTAACCACTGTTACAGTTTGCGCTCCATTGCCGGTTCGATAAGAGTGATGAATGACCGACGCGCTGTTGTCATGTGTGTTTTAAATATTTAATTTAATGAAACTTACTTCCTTACTGACTACAAATTTTGGCTTAACTTAGAAAAACTTAATGCCGTTTATTTGTTAATTACCCAATTTCAAAACTTTTTAGATTAGATTATAAAAATTCGTCAGATTGTGGAGATTGTGGTCGATATAAAGTTGTAAACTATAAAGCCATTTGGACAAAAATCTATTGACTTTTGGACCATGGGTCATATGAACTTTTTGACTTGTTTTGACCACCCCTATGACCCAATTCAATAATGACTACCATAACGTTTACACCCTGTATTGTTGTTTTATTGTTATTGTATTGTTCCAATTTACTGATGTTTAGTGACAAATATGATTATTACATGATTATAATTTTGTTTTTATTATTATAAATATTATAAATAAATTATATATAAATAAATATCTGTGTATCATGGTAATGAACATACAGGGTGTTTCAGTTTATTGTTGCATAACTTTAAGATTCGATAGAACTTTTAAAATTAATGCATAAAGTCTATATAAACATGGATCGAAAAATGCGTGGCTTCCGAAATACAGGGTGTTTAAATTTACTTTTTAAAATAGTTTTTTTTAAATATTTCGAACAATATTTGATGTATAACAGTGAAAATTTGTATACAAGGGTTTTTTGGTACGACAAAACGAACCGCTAGAGGGCGCTCTCTACTGTACCTGTAGTGTATTAAAATGACCGAAAAAAAAATTCTTAGTGCAATTTTTTGCTTTTTGAATAAAAAAAACTGATTCCTCGCACTTTTCAACATAAAAAAGTTCTCTTGTAAATTTTCGTTATAGTTAGCCGTTTTTGAGATATTTCGATTTTTAAGGTTCGATGCATTTTTAATTATTTATGATAAAACAACGTTAAAAAGTCAGTATCTCGATAATTTTTAGAAGTAGGCTGTGCCTGCAAATATTTTTGAAAGTGAAAGCAGAATAAGGTTAAACGTCAATTAGTTGACAGTTAGTTTTGTTGTCTGTTGAAACCTGAAACGTTTTTTTGCAATTGTGAATGCACGAAATTTAGTTTCTTTTACCTGTTTTTTTTGTAAGTTTTATAAAAATGCCATTTTTATTCTCCAATCAAGAGTTAGCGGACATTCATTTTGTGTATGGCTTTGTAAATGGAAACGCAGCAGAAACAGCCAGAGAATACGCACGAAGATTTCCAAACAGACAACATCCAACTCGCTCAGTATTTGTAAGAGTGCATCGCCAAATAATTGAAAATGGTTTTGGAAATCTCCAAAGGGATCAAAACATATATTATATAGACTTTATGCACTAATTTTAAAAGTTCTATCGAATATTAAAGTTATGCAACAATAAACTGAAACACCCTGTATATGTTTATAGGAGCTGCTGTTGTTTGTGGATGTACCTTCTGCTTTAGAAATATTCTCATTTTATGAATTACCATGTTTATGTTCAGAAAATAGATATTTTTTGGCAATTAATAATCTCATTAATCATTAGTTGATAAAAAAAAAAACAAACAAAAATTACAAATAAATAAATGTTATCGGGTGCCATAACGAGTTGTGCTCCAGCGGAAGACACTATAGTGAGTCATGTTGAATAATTTTTGTTGAGCTTCACAGGAGATTTTTGCATTTCTGCGTCTTCAGAATAAAGGTTTTTTTTTTTGGAAAATTCATTAACTAGTATCTATGTACCTGTACTTTCCGGGAAAAGCGTCTCGAACAAACCCTGAAAGGCCATGTTGGTACCGGAACCAATGACACACCCGCATCCACCAATGCTGGCTGCATAAGCTGTCGATATAAACATGCACATGGTCGTCTTGGTTGGTTTCTTGCCTTCTACACCTCCCATTGCTAGTCCTCCTCCCTCTGCTTTTGGTAGTTCTGATTCGTCTGCTTTTTCCCACATTTGGCCAATACCTTTTTATGAGAATCAAAAATCATTTATTTCCACCACATCCAGACAATTTCATAAAATTAAATAGTCAAAAGACTTGTCCTGACAAAAAAAAATATTTAGAAAAATTTGTTCTGGGATACCGTGCGTGTATATCCAATGCTTAAAAGCTGGGTTAAAACCGGGTTAAAAGTTATAATTTAAGTATCTAAATCAAAGTCAACACATCTACAGGACCTTGACGAGTATTTTGAGGTTAGTTTTGGTCTAATCATAGACGAAAATACCCCTGGTTTGCGAAATAATTGTAAAGTCTGGCTTTATTGCTGCAAGATGTTCAAAGGGGTATTCAAAACATAAAAAGGGTACATCAATTTTTGAGGGAAAACTTTTTATTCTACAACAAAGAATGAGAAAACGTGTTTTTTGGGATTTAATCGAAAGTGCTAGCAGGAACGAAAAAACTCTTCATATAAGATTTTTAGGTATTTAAGAGATCTACAAAATGAGATCACACGTAAAAAGAACCGACTAATAGCAAAAAAGTTATGACCGCAAACCGAGGCCAACTGCAGGTTTTGGCACTTGTTGGTAATGGGACGATGGTCTCCCGCAGAAATTTTTCAAATTCGTACGATTTGTACTTCTAAATAACCACAACAAAATTGGAGTAGATTGGTCAACTACTTTTTGAGAATGTCTAATTGTTTATCCCAAAACACCAGTCTTCCGGCCATCACTACTAGTTTATTGAAATATATACTAAGTGACATATAAATCCGAACACCCAGTTTAAATGGTTTTATTTTAATAAAAGTTGGTGAATGTATTTATCTTACTGTAAATAACAAGTGAACAAATTTTCAGCTCTATCAGTTGGACATTCCGGTTTTTATACTGCTTTTTGTTAATTCACTAACGCTCTAAAAATGAATATTTCAGCCGCAGTAAAGAATCAACGTTGGCGGATTTTGGTTCTTGACATCCTTTACGATCGGTTACGATGCCTGGAGTACGGAGACCTGTACGATTTCGTCAACTTAGTGAGTTTAATAGGGGCCGTATAGTGGGACTTCGGGAAGCTGGACTTTCTTTTCGGGCAATTGCAGTTATAGTGCAAAGAAGTGTAGACACTGTGGTTAGGTGTTGTCAGGCATAGCTTCGAGAAGGCCGTACGCAAAGAGCAAGGGGCACTGGACGCCGCCGTAGAACAACAGACCGTGAAGATCGCCGCCTAATATTATTGGCCTTAAGGGGCCGTTTCTCCACTACCAGGTCGATTGCAAATTAATGGTTTGCAGAACACGGAAGACCTATTGGCATGCGAAGTGTTTACCGACGAAGAAGTTTTGGCTTGTTCTCATACCGGCCACACTGGGTCCTCCCTTTAACTCGAGAACACCGACGTAATCGCCTTGAGTGGTGCAGACAACGGTCACTCTGGGATCAGGAATGGAACAGTGTTATCTTTAGTGACGAGTCTCGATTTTGTTTAGGCATGCACGATGGTCGTGCCAGGGTTAGAAGGCGACGTGGTGAAAGGAGGAATCCACAGTTTTTTGTTGAAAGACATGTTCATCACACTGTTGGAGTTATGGTTTGGGGTGCTATAGCTTATGGTTCCAGGTCACCTTTAATCTTCATCAGAGGTAACAAGAACGCGCAGCGTTATATCCACGAAGTTCTAGAACCCCATCTTTTACCCTATCTTGACACCCTGGCAGATCCAACTTTCCAACAAGATAATGCCCGACCACATGTTGCAAGAGTCACAATAGACTTCTTTCAACATAATGATGTCACATTGTTACCAAGGCCACCAAGATCTCCCGACTTATCCCCAATTGAGCACGTGTGGGATATGATGGGTAGGAGATTGCTCAATTTGCAACGTCCTCCTCAGACTCTAGAAGCACTTCTAGAGGAGTTGGTGGTTGCCTGGAATGAGATACCACAGGAGGACATTGACCACCTGATCAGAAGCATGCCTAGGCGCGTTGGAGAATGCGTAGCACATCAGGGTGCATCCACACATTATTAAAGGTCAAAGGGCTTTAAAGCAGTGCAATCATTTTGAAATTTTTATCATTTACTTATTATGCTTCATTAAGTACTTATACAAAATTTTATTAAAATAAAACCATTTAAACTGGGTGTTCGGATTTATATGTCACTTAGTATATAAAGGGTTCAAAGGGCATTTTATAACCAAATACAGCAGTTTACCTTGACGACATAAACCGCAAACCATTCTGGAGATAAATGTTATTTTTATGCAAAAAGGCATGGGTTACGTTTTTTCTAAACAAATTCAAACATTTCGTATTTGTCAGAAATTCGCAACAAAAGATGATAGACACACCCGCTTTGTTTTAAATTGTGTATGCTTTTCGAATTTGTTTAATTACTCACAAATACGAAATGTTTGAATCAAAAATAACATTTATCTTTCGGAATGGTTTGTGATTCATATCGGCAGGGTAAACACGTGTATTTTGCTATTAAATGCTCTTTGAACGAACTCTGATCTTTTCACGTGTGGTCTCATAAATACCTGAAAATCTTATATGAAAAGATTTTCGTTTCTGTCAACACTTTCGCTTGAGTCCCAAAAAACACGTTTTCTCATTCTTTGTTGTCAAGTTTTCCCCACAAAAATTGGTGTACCCATCTTATGCGTCCGTGTTTTAAATACCCCCTCGAATAACTTGAACCAATAAAACCAGACTACAATGATTTCGGGGAAATTTGCTAATATGATTGGACTATTTATTTTAAAGCGATTTCAACGTTGTTTTTCAGACCAAAATTAACGAACTTTTTCGCAGACTGTACTTCAGAAAAAGTAGGGAATATCACAATATAACTTATCCTGTGGTTTAAATATCTATAATCCCCAATGATTGTATGGCCAATAAAACCACATGTATGGACACAATCTTCGTAATAAACGTTTTAATTACAAAGGTGATCTTCTCCCGTACAATGACAATATGTTTGATTTATCTGTATTCCAGGTGACAGTTGGTTTGTTTTTCCTTTTTTTAATCACATTCCTATACGGTCTGTTACTACAATAGACTGAAAGTCCCGTAATATGCAAGTATTCCGAAATTTAAGATGGCTAGCCTAGGACCACCTGGGGTAGTGAATCCCGTGCCTAGAAAGAACGTCCAGCCTTCTAAAACGACAAGCGAGTACTAGTCTATCTATCGTTCTTTAATGTACCAGATATGCCACCCTTGTCCATCGTCCCGAAAACGCCAAACGCCTTCCAAAACGTGAAACAGTAATTGAAACTCATGCAGTTTCGTTTGGCGCCCAGATGATCGACATTTTTTTACACAGAAACATGTGACATTCTTTTTTGTGGTCTACGTACATCCGAGAAACTTACCACTTATTCTGAAAAACAACTTAACATACCAGTATATGCCTGAAATGTTTGTCTCAAACACTCTTGTCAAGTCATCAGAGTAAGCTATTATTCAGCGGCACCATTCAGAAGTATTCGTGTTCACAGATACTTTATAGTCAAGTGAAATTTAGGAATTTCATATTAGGATACTTGCCTTGCTCTTCCAAGGCTTTCAAGGTAGCATCTATGATCGGTATCATCATAGCAGTAGCTGCTGTATTGGAGATCCACATAGATACGAACATAGTTATAGAACACAGCCCTAGGTTCAGTCTCTTTGGACTGCAACCAATCTGAAACAACATGTTGATTAGACTTGTTAATTTTATACAAACTAGATTATTATATGTAATATAGAAAGTTGAATAATCATTTCCGACCACCTCCGATAATATAGCAGTGTATAAGGTTGTCTTACTCAATAGTTTGCAAACGTTAACAAGAACTGACACATTTTATTTCGTAGCACTTCAATGTTCACGAACTTAATTTATTCCAATTGGGGCAATTTGAGAGATTTTGTTAAAAACATCTCGGAATATACTAATACTAATACGGTGGGCAATATACAGGGTGTTTCAGAACTATGGGATCAAACTTGTAGGGGTTATTCCGTGTAACAGTAGAACACATTTGAGTATAGGGACCCATACCCGGCGCTTGTGTGTTGTTGTTATCTTTAAAAACGATAAAAGAGATTGTTCTTTGTAGCTGCATTCCATATCGCCTTAATCGTGAAGCTTGCAAGAATTTATAAAAAATTAATTGTTGCGTTGGATTGCCAGAGGTGGAGCAGTATCTTGGCCTCCTAGGTCACCCGATTTAAGTCGACAGATTTTTTCCTGTGGGGACTTGTAGAGTCTTTGGTTTACGAAACTCCAGTATAAGCAGAGCAAGACTTGATTGCACGAATTACATCAGCATTTGAAATCATTCAAAAGGAGTTTCAAATTTTTAGTCAAGTCCGCCGAAATCATTTAGAACAATTGTCGTGATGATATCATGTACAAAAGGAAAAAATTAGATGCATTAAATCCTATTCAGGCAATTCATCGTCTTTCGAAATTTCAACGCGTCTTAGGGCCGTGGTGACACTTTTCCGGACATGGGTCCCTATACTCAAATGTTTTCTACTGTTACACTGAATAAAGGGAAGCTAAAAACAGCAATCCGTTTACTTCATGATGCATATGAAAACAATAATAGTGATTTCTGTTACATTAAATTAAAGTTCGTACTTATTAGCGATTAGCGAAGCAAGTCACTTGAGGAACATGGATCCGAGTAAAGCTTTTGAGCTGGTAAAGCACAATCTACTACCGGTAAAGCCTGAACAATATGGAATAATGGTGTGGTACGAAAAATATACTAAGTGACATATAAATCCGAACACCCAGTTTAAATGGTTTTATTTTAATAAAACTTGGTGAATGTATTTATCTTACTGTAAATAACAAGTGAAAAAATTTTCAGCCTTATCAGTTGGACATTCCGGTTTTTATACTGCTTTTTTTTAGTTCACTGGTGCTCTAAAAATGAATATTTCATCCGCAGTAAAGAATCAACGTTGGCGGATTTTGGTTCTTGACATCCTTTACGATCGGTTACGATGCCTAGAGTACGGAGACCTGTACGATTTCGTCAACTTAGTGAGTTTGATAGGGGCCGTATAGTGGGACTTCGGGAAGCTGGACTTTCTTTTCGGGCAATTGCAGTCAGAGTGCAAAGAAGTGTAGACACTGTGGTTAGGTGTTGTCAGGCATGGCTTCGAGAAGGCCGTACGCAAAGAGCAAGGGGCACTGGACGCCGCCGTAGAACAATAGACCGTGAAGATCGCCGCCTAAGATTATTGGCCTTAAGGGACCGTTTCTCCACTACCAGGTCCATTGCAAATGAATGGTTTGCAGAACACGGAAGACCTATTGGCATGCGAAGTGTTTACCGACGAATGAGAAGTTTTGGCTTGTTTTCATACCGGCCATACTGGGTCCTCCCTTTAACTCGAGAACACCGACGTAATCGCCTTGAGTGGTGCAGACAACGGTCATTCTGGGATCAGGAATGGAACAGTATTGCCTTTAGTGACACTATCTTGACATCCTGGCAGATCCAACTTTCCAACAAGATAATGCCCCACCACATGTTGCAAGAGTCACAATAGACTTCTTTCAACATAATGATGTCACATTGTTACCATGGCCACCAAGATCTCTCGACTTATCCCCAATTTTTTTTTATACTCCAACTACCACGAAGGCCTAAGGCTCCGCCTGCGAGAACCGCCGGGTGGTACCTCCGCGTTCGACAGTCAGATACCATCTACCACCTACGAGACCATCTACCACCTACGACACCATCTACCACCTACGAGACCATCTACCACCTACGTGTGTGAGCACGTGTGGGATATGATGGGTAGGAGATTGCTCAATTTGCAACGTCCTCCTCAGACTCTAGAAGCACTTCGAGAGGAGTTGGTGGTTGCCTGGAATGAGATACCACAGGAGGACATTGGCCACCTGATCAGAAGCATGCCTAGACGCGTTGCAGAATGCGTAGCACATCAGGGTGCATCCACACATTATTAAAGGTCAAAGGGCTTTAAAGTAGTGCAATCATTTTGAAATTTTTATCATTAACTTATTATGCTTCATTAAGTACTTATACAAAATTTTATTAAAATAAAACCATTTAAACTGGGTGTTCGGATTTATGTGTCACTTAGTATACTTGACCAACAGAAAACACTGTGTACAAAAAAATAACAATCAAGTCTAACGTACTAACTGCATAATGGGGGTGCAAAACAGGTCGATACTGCGTTATATCATTTCCGTGAATCATTTCATTTGTGATAATTATGTCATGTATGCGGATGATACATCCCTCCTCATCAGTTCTCCCTCTCTTTGCCTCTACATTCTTCAGTTGTTACTTTATGTTAAGAATAATTACAGGAGCTTTGATACACTCAATGCACATGGCTGTTACAATACAAGAAACTCAATCTGAAAATAGCCCCAAGTACATGGGAACCAAGTCATATAATAAACTACCCAGTCATACAAAACAACTAAATCTATACGAATTAAAAGCAAACTTTATACCAATGCTTCTTAAAAAGCTTACTACTCGGTTAATGAGAACCTTTGTGATAACACCATTTAGTTTTATGAACTATTTGATGTTAAGTGCTTTTATGTGATGTTATAAGCTTTGTATATTGTATAATTTGTTGTGTCTTTATAAATTATTCTATGTTTTATGTGACTACTTACAACGTATATGCTGTACTTGTCTTTAGCTGTTTGTAAAAGTGATATCTTCATTTACTTATTATTTTTGACGCTTTTTATATCATTTATATGATCTCCGAATAAAAATTATTATTGTTATTATGCAGATGCTCAAATATTTTCAACAGGCAACACAATTTTGATGTTAAAAAGACCATACACCACAAACTTCAAGCTCAATAGGTGAAGATAGTGTAAGCAACGTCTGATTCCATGATCAGCTTATTGTTTAAGTCATTAAGTTAAAAATAGGTAATACTTTTCATTCATTTTCTGTACTCTGTTTTTTTCAGTTTTTTTCAGGTGTTCGCACAGATTAATGTGCGCCGGGAATTCAGTTAATAATATCGATGAACGGTTTGTTCTCTTTGATCTGGTCAATGGATAGTAATAATATTTTCATTTCCATAAAATACTCGTACCTCACATAACAACTTGTATCAGATCATTCCAACTTGAATCTGTTCTAATTAAATAAATCACCCATTAATTTAGATCGATTTTAAAGTATAAAACAGAAAATTTCTGTATCCGGTAAATATTATTCGTAGGCAAAATGCGTATTTCAACAAGTTTGAGGATGGTATTACTCACCAGTCTTATCGTGTACAAGGATAACCTGGTGTGGAGATTACAATGTTCGATGGCAATCGCTATGATGAGACCTCCGACGAACATCATGTTGGTTTCCTTCAGGTAACATAGTGAGACCTTGTCCGAGTCCAGGACGCCCATCAACGGGAACAGCACCATCGGGATGAGGGATGTGACGGCAAGTGGCAAAACTTCACACACCCAATATCCTAAATAGAATAATGTGTATAATATCAAACAAGTAAGAAGTGGGGAGGAGACATATACAGATTCATACAAAAGGACCTGATATTGCTAATGCAGTTTTCAATCAGTAGTCTAATCATAATAGACGAAACTATCAATGGTTTGCGAAACAATTGCAAAGTCTCGTTTAAACGCATAAAATGGGTACACCAATTTTTGACGAAAAACCTTTTATTCGACAACAAAGAATGAGAACACGTGTTTTTTTGGATTCAATTGAAAGTGTTAGCAGGAACGTAAAAACTCTTCATATAAGATTCTTAGGTATTTATGAGACCTACAAAATGAGACCACACGTAAAAAGATCAGACTAATAGCAAAAAGGTTATAGCCGAAAACCAAAGCAAACTGTAAGCTTTGGCACTTGTTGGTAATGCGACGATGGTTTCTGTCAGATATTTGAAATTCTTCAAAATCGTAGGATTCGTACTTCCAAATAACCACAACAAAATTGGAGTAGATTGGTCAAGTAGTTTAGAATTTCTAATTGTTTATCCCAAAACACCTGTCACTAATAGCACTGGACAACAAATTTTAGTTTTTCAATTGTACCTTGTGGGAAAAGTGCATTTCTTTGTTAATTTTGGGGCGCTGAATCCAAAAATGACAATGAAATAAAAAAATTAGTTGCGGTTTAGAAAAAAAACTTTTTATTTTTAAGGATATATTAAAAAAAGTAACAAGATTCATATACTTATAAGAATCACTATATGCGCTGTCTTTTTGCTGTTCTTTTATGGATCGTTTCTGGAGCATCTCTACCAAGAGTCCAACAGTAGTCTGCAAGCATGGAAGGATTCCGCTTACGGCTCCGCAATTGTCAGGAAAAAAGTCCAGGTGTGAGTGTAGGAAATGTATCTTAAGAGACATATTACAGCCCATCTTTTGATACGATGACAGCATATTTTTGACAAGGGTTTTATAGTTGTCAGCTTTTCTATTTCCCAAGAAATTAGTGACCAACAGACGGAAATCATTCCAAGCAGTTTTTTCAATACCTGTTAAAGTGTTTTCAAACTGTGTATCTTTCAAAATATTTCAAATCTGTGGCCCAACAAAAATACCTTCTTTAACCTTTGCCTCACTTAGTCTTTGAAATTTCTGACGCAGGTATTGAAAAGCTGACCCATCTCTATCTAATGCCTTGACAAAGTTTTTCATTAGGCCCAACTTGATATGCAGTGGTGGTAATAAAATTATTTTCGAATCTACTAATGGCATATGCTGTACATTTTTTTGACCTGGCTCTAGGAATTGACGCACAGGCCAGTTTTGTCTGGTGTAATGAAGTGCCTTTGCCCGACTGTCGCATTCACACAAAAAACAGCAAAACTTTGTGTAGCCTAGCTGCAGCCCAAGTAAAGGTGCAACAACTTTCAAATCGCCACAAATATGCCATTGGTGCTCATCATATTTTATGCATGTCAATAGGTACTTCATATTGTCATAAATATGATTCTTTCATGTGAACTGCATACCCTACAGGAAGAGATGGTAAAATATTTCCAATATGCAATAACACTGCCTTTAAACTCAATGTTGAACTGTCTATAAACAATCTCCATTCTTCTGGGTTATAGTTTATATTTAAAGCCGCCAGTAAGCCGTTAATATTACTGCAGAAAACCAAGTTATTCTCCATATTGAAAAATGGTCTTTGTGGCGTTTACGAAAAACACATACCGAAACATCGTCTTCTAACAAGTTCCACTGCTGCAGTCTTGATCCAAGTAACTCTGCCTTACATTTTGGAAGTTCTAAATCTCTTACAAGATCATTTAATTCTGTTTTATTGTGTGCGGTTGGTGGCATGACGTGCTCGGTATAAAATCAGAATCTCTTGACGTTGATGGCATATCTTCTTCCTAACGAATCACTCGATCGCTATGATCTGATTCGTTTTCTGATTCGCAAGTGTAGGATTCTGGGGGTTTTGGAATAGGATTTTCGTTACTGTGAGGCACAGGTCTCATCGCATGGTATGTTTGGGTAGTTAATAACCGATTTTTTTTTCTTGGACATACCAGTGGCTTGTCCAACACAAGGTACCATGCAAAAGTAACAATCATTAATATGATTTGTAGGCTCTCTCCAAACCATTGGGACAGCAAGGCGCATAGACCGTTTTTTGCCATTTAACCAGCTCCTCAGACTTGAAGCACATGTATTACAGAAGATGTGGGGTGCCCACTGTTTGTCTTGATCACCTAGTTTACAACCGAAATAAAGCTGATATGCCTTTGTTATTAGTGGAGTAATAGACCGTCTCTGAGACGCAAAAGTCACATCACCACACACGTAAAAAAAAGTGATCTGGATTGTTTACACACTTTCGAGACATCTTGCATGAACGCTGTCAGCCAACTGAGGAAAAAATGGCTAATATAAAACAATATAATGTACACGTATGTATAACGTAACACAATCATGCCGATTACATAATCTTTCCTTGCCGAATATAAAAATGTAGCACGTGCATTCTTGTGAATTACACTATATTAACACTGTCACAGCAGGAACACATATAATTACCGTATCTCTAAAACTTGAACTAATATTGAAAAAATAAGTTTCATTCCGGTTTTATCACATTAAAAATAGTAATATTTTGTTGATTTTATTTAGGATATTTTTTGGCTGTTGATCAGTGTAGTTTATTCAGCAATATACAGGGTCAGTTAAAAGAGCATTTTATAGCAAAATACATTGCCGATATGAATAGCAAACTATTCCGGAAGATAAATATTATTTATTTTTATGCAAAAAAGGATGGGCTACGTTTTCTCTTCTAAACAAATTCAAACATCTCATATTTGTGAGTAATTCGCCACAAAAGATGATAGACACATCCGCTTTGTTTTAAAAAGAGTATAGTAGTGTATGTTTTTCGAATATCGTTGCGCATTTGTTCAATTACTCACAAATACGAAATCTTTGAATTTGTTTAGAAGAACAAAAACGTAACGTTTGTTTTTCGCATAAAAATAACATTTATCTTTTGGAATGGTTTGTGAGTCATATCGGCAAGGTAGATACGTGTATTTTGCTATTAAATGATCTTTGAACGAACTCTGTATGTTGCTCAATAAACTAGTAGTGAAAACAGACAGTAACTCAGCAAGGCATTCTTGTTGCGATAATTGTCTCTGAAGGTTTTAATAAATTATGGCGCGAAAATGTTCTCGGTTGAGTTCCATTTTTCTAATGACTTGGTGACACTAAAAAATTCGCTGTAGTAAGAACATTGCACGTATTGTTTTGTATTGTGTTTACTAAAGAGTGAGGTTAAGATTCAGTACTGACGTTCGATCCGTGCGGCCTACTATGTTTCTATATGCAAAACTTAAGAGACATCCCTCGTATAGTGAGCGCTTGCATTCTGGACCGTTCGCGACACCATCTCGAGTATTCGACACCTCTGAAGATGAAGAATGTTTCTCGACTCGTCTATAGGGACAGAAATATCCGACCAGATATCACATTTGAGACACAGTCCAGCCAGTAGACAGCGAACGCGGATTGAGAGGGAATAATAGTCTAATCGACGTAGTTATAAATTTGCTGTAAGTTAGTAGCAAATGTTATAAATTAGTGGGGCAGTAATAAATTAGACTTGGAACAGTAAGGCAGTACTTTACAGTACGTTAGAGTATAGTTGCTTGAACTATTTGTGGTTAACTCTTTTAGATGCCTTTAATACTAACGGTGCTATCAACCGTTTATACACAAACAACAAACTATCAAATAGCTTCGTTATAGTATATGGCTATCACAAAATTTTCCAAACATGCATCCAATACATACCTGACATAAGAAGTACGACGAACATACATCTCATAGCTGGGGTGTTGTTCGTCAGGAAGATTGGCATCAGACATATTGGATAGACAATAACAAAGACTGTCCGCCAATATATCTTTAACGCATTAAGCAGCAACATGGTGGTGTTCTGCTGGAACCCGAATGCCTTCACTGGAAAAAAAATATTTTGTTAAAATATCATATATACTGGGTGTTTCAGTTTATTGTTGCATAACTTTAAGATTTGATAGAACTTTCAAAATTAATGCATAAAGTCTATATAAACATGGGTCAAAAAATGCGTGGCTTCCGAAATTTACTTTCTAAAATAGTTTTTCTTTAAATATTTCGAACAATATTTGATGTATAACTGTGGAAATTGGTATACAAGGGTTTTTTGGTACGACAAAACGAACCATGGGCATAGTTTTACTGTAGCCGCTAGAGGGCGCTCTCTACTGTACCTGTAGTCTATAAAAATGACCGAAAATTTTTTTTTAGCGCAACTTTTTGCTTTTTGAATAAAAAAACTGATTCTTCGCACTTTTCAACATAAAAAAGCTCTCATGTGAATTTTCGTTATAGTTAGCCGTTTTTGAGATATTTCGATTTTTAAGGTTCGATGCATTTTTTATTATTTATGATAAAATATCGGTAAAAAGTCAGTATCTCGATAATTTTTAGAAGTAGGCTGTGCCTGCTAATATTTGTGGAATTGAAAGCAGAATAAGGTTAAACGTCAATTAGTTGATAGTTAGTTTTGTTGTCTCTTGAAACCGGAAACGTTTTTTTGCAATTGTGAATGCACGGAATTTAGTTTCTTTTGCCTGTTTTTTAATGTAAGTTTTATAAAAATGCCATTTTTATTCTCCAATCAAGAGTTAGCGGATATTCATTTTGTGTATGGCTTTGTAAATCTCGCTCAGTATTTGTAAGAGTGCATCGCCAAATAATTGAAAATGGTTTTGGAAATCTCCAAAGGGATCAAAACATAAAAGTTCGTCAGCGCACATTTACCCGTATGATTCTGCGTGAGTTTGATAGAGATCCGACCACAAGTGTTAAAAGAGTTTCTGGTGCCTTGGGAATATCAGCAAGCCATGTTCACCTTGTTCTTATAAGTAACCATAGACGTCCTTACCATTTGCAACCTGTGCAAGGACTACAGCCAGGGGACGGAGAACGAAGAATAACATTTTGTCAGTGGATTCTTGATAGAACTGATAATAATAGGGAGTTTTTAAGTAACGTTTTATGGACCGATGAGTCATGCTTCACTAGATGTGGAGTGGTAAATTTTCATAATCAACATATTTGGTCGCATGAAAATCCGCATGCAGTTCGGGAAAGAAATTATCAGCATGAATTTAGTGTGAACGTGTGGATTGGTATCTACGGTAATCGACTATTTGGACCCTACCTTTTGCCTGCAAGGTGGAATGCTGCGACCTTCTTGGAATTTTTAAAGGCTAAACATGCAAATATGTGGGATGATGTTATGTTAGGTTTAAGAAGATTGGCCTGGTTCCAGCTTGATGGTTGTCCAGCTCATTATTCGGGAATAGTTAGAAACTGGCTGGACGAAAATTATCCAGAAAGATGGATCGGCCGTGGAGGACCAGTCGCCTGGCCCCCACGATCCCCTGACCTAAATCCATTAGATTTCTTTGTGTGGGGATTTCTAAAAGAAAAAGTGTACCAGACTCCCATAACCACAAGAGATATGCTAATAGACAGAATCAGGAATACATGTGATGAAATAAGGCCTTATTTTATTTATTTATTTATTTATTTATTTATATACAGTTTGGGGTGTTAACAGGTAAACCCAACACACACCCTCAGTGAACTAAAACTAAACTTACATGAAATATCGTATACATATACATATATTACATTATTGAATACTTCAATATTAATATTTTTTTCCTCCGATATTGTTGTAACAACATAAACTGAGTGAGTAGTTCTAATTATAAGCAAGAAACTATTAATTTAACTTTTTTAATAAAAGGAGTATACATAATTTAACATTTACTTACGTTTAATTAAAACTGAAATCAAAATTAAATTGAAATTATACCAGAAATGATATTGGAGGTGATAACTTGAGTTATGTAAAAAAATAGAACATTTCTATTTTAGTCTGAAAATGAGCTGTAATACTCATACTTTAAAGCCTTTTTCAGGGAGGTCAAGCTAATGTTAAATAAATCTATATTACAGAAATTATTATGATTTTATTGAGCCCTGAACAAAGGAGAATTAAGACCAAGATTGGTTCTGCGGAACGGTATTCTAAACAGATGATAGGTTCTAAACGTTCTATGAGGAGTGTTAAAGTTCAAGTTTGCCAAAAGATCCGGACAGTCAGTGAGGCCATTCAACAATTTATGGACACAGCAAATGTCAGAAATCGTTCTTCTATCTTTTAAGGAAATCATATTGAACTGTTTCATAATTTGCGTATAATGATGATCTGTAACAGGTTGGTGAGTTTTATGTGCTAACATCTTCAAAAATTTGTGTTGAATTCTTTCTATCCTGACTATATGTACATTGTAAGATGGATTCCATATTACTGATGCAAACATCAGTTTGTTGTGTATATAAGCGTAGTACAATGAAAGAAGCGTTTTTGGGTTCGTAAATTCTCTGCATGTCCTGTTCATGAACCCTAGTGTTCTATAGTCGAAATCACGAAAGATGGCGATTACGTCATCATTTTAGTCTGTAGTAAAGACATTCAACAGCGATTTGTGAATATATTTAATAAAGTTTCTGATATGTTAGACAGAGACAAACAGAATTTTATTGTCTAAACAAACTGTATTGCTAATTTGCACGTATTCGACAAAGATAGACGATGTTTTCATGTTGCATGATCGGTCATATTTGAAAGATGAATAGTTAGGTTATGTTAAAGCAGGTTATGTTGTTCTCGAGTAATATTTTGGTCTTTGGTCTTCCTGTCTCAAGGTATTCTACTCATAACTGTTTTTTTTTTCAAAACAAAAACTCCCCACTAAATTTATTATTAAGGTATCACTCAAAACCATGAAATAAAATGATAATAAAAATAATCAGTGAAATAACCTAACTTCGCAAAATCATAATATAAATTTGTTGTCACTATGTTTCTGACTCGTGATTTTATCATCGACTTACGTCCATTGATTACTTCAGTTCAATTTATGGTATGACGTAACAGTCATCTTTCGTGATTTTGACTATATTTGCATCATTTACGATGTGCTCTACGTGGGTGATGAATGAGAGTTTCTCATCAATGTATACCCCTAGGTCTTTTACTACATGAAGCTTTTCCAGTTCTGCCGTCCCTATCTTATATCTGAAATCTATAGTGTTCGCTATGTTTCTAGTAAGCCTCATGTAATGACTATTTGAATAATGCTATACCACGTTCGATCATTCGTAGATGTGAATTGTGTATTGAACAATTCGGTTTACATTTCGAGCAACTACTTTAGATTTTGTATGTTTGTCCTAACTATCCAATAGCATTTCAGTTGTCAATAATTAATTTAGTTTGTTAAAAATAATATTGGAAAATTAAACAAATTAATATTCTATTTTTTTGTGTTTATTTGGAGTTAGGAATTATTGCTGTGTTTAAAAACACAATCTAAACGATCATCTTAATTACTTGTAATGCCCAAATCGAAAATGTAAAAAAATATGATTTTCCCATAAATAATTAAAAATGCATCGAACCTTAAAAATCGAAATATCTCAAAAACCGCTAACTATAGCGAAAACTCACAGGAAAAAACGATTTTAGAAAGTAAATTTAAACATTTCGGAAGCCACGCATTTTTCGACCCATGTTTATATAGACTTTATGCATTAGTTTTGAAGGTTCTATCGAATCTTAAAGTTATGCAACAATAAACTGAAACACCCTGTATATATATACAGGGTGGCCCACCCATGTGTCGACGGAATATTACTCATAAACAAATACATTTTGGAAAAATCCATATATCGGATGTTTTACATGACATTTGGGGGCACATTTCTAAAATATTGGCCATTGTGTCCCAATTTCGACCTACATATCAAAATTGTGATTTTTCAAATGGAATGCCTCAAATTTTATTGCATATTTGGATAAACCAATTCAAAAGAAGAAGATTGATATATAATACTATGGGATTTTTGTAAATAGCTACTGAGATGTAAGGTGTTTTGTCCAAAAAAACCGTCCACTTCGGCAACCCTTCAATCCGCCATTTTGAAATTTGGAGTGCTGAATTTTATATCAAAAAACCTACATACCTCAGCTTTTATCTTATTTGTTACTGTTTTGAATTTTGATTTTTACTCATACAGGGTGGTCAAAAACGCAAATTGTAGTTTTTCTCAAAAATTTCAAATGCATCACACTATATATTTGTGCAAGTTTGGATTCAATTTTTTATTAGCTTTTTTTGATACTAGACACATAAGGCATTTTACGGCTATTTTTTCGGTTATTAGCACGTTTTTTATAATATATTTGCTTTGTGAGCATTATAATAAAAACGTGTTTGAAAATGAATTTTTCTAACGAAGAAATAGTGAATATGGTGTTCGTTTAGGGCGAATCTCAAAGAAATAGTTTGCTAGCGTCTCGCATTTATGAGTAACGGTACCCTAATATGCGACATCTAAAGCCGGAAACATTTTCTACACTACGAAAATGTTTTGAATTAAGTGGAGCAGTGAAATATAGTAAAAAATGTATAAATACTCCAAGTGCCACCAATGAGGCGAATCAGTTGGAGGTTCTATTAAAATTGCCGGAAAATCCCCATTTAAGTGCACGGCAAATTGGAGCAGAGAACTTCTGTCCAAAGGATTATTCACAAGCATAGGTACCATCCATTACACCTATTCTTGCATCAAGGCCTTCGTCCTCAGGATTTCGCAGCTCGCACGTTTTTACGTCAAATCTGTACTCTTAGTGGCGATATGGAACTAGCCCATTGTATGTCTTTTGTTTCCATGGGCGATGTGATTTTTTCCGTTAATTTTGGTGTGCTGTTCTACTAAAAGCTTAATAACTCAAAATCTAGTGATTTCATCTAAATCAAACCTTATTCCAAAAAAAGCTTATAAAACATTGAATCAAAACTTGCACATACAATTTTTGAGAAAAAGTAAAATTAGCGTTTTTGACCACCCTGTATGAGCAAAAATAAAAATTCGAAAAGGTAACAAATAAAATAAAAGCTGAGGTGTGCAAGTTTTTTTTGATTCAAAATTCAGCACTCCAAATTTCAAAATGGCGGATTGAAGGGTTGCCGAAGTGGACGGTTTTTTTGGACAAAACACCTTACATCTCAAGAGCTAATTACAAGAAGTATTATATTTCAATCTTCTTCTTTTGAATTAGTGTATCCAAATATGCAATAAAATTTGAGGCATTCTATCAAAAAAACCACAACTTTGATATGTAGGTCACAATTGGGACACCCTGTAAATTTGCCAATATTTTAGAAATGTGCTCTTAAATGTCATGTATAATATCCCATAAACTGATTTTCCCAAAATGTATTTGTTTATGAGTAATACTCTGTCCACAAAAGGATGGGCCACCCTGTATATACAGGGTGTTTCAGTTTATTGTTGCACAACTTTGGGATTCGATAGAACTTTTAAAATGAATGCATAAAGTCTATATAAACGTGGGTCGAAAAATGCGTGGCTTCCGAAATACAGGGTGTTTAAATTTACTTTCTAAAATAGTTTTTTTTAAATATTTCGAACAATGTTTGATGTATAATAGTAAAAATTGGTATGCAAGGGTTTTTTGGTACAACAAAACGAACCATGGGCATAGTTTTCCTGTAGCCGCTAGAGGGCGCTCTCTACTGTACCTGTAGTCTATTAAAATGACCGAAATTTTTTTCTTAGTGCAATTTTTTGCTTTTCGATTAAAAAAAATTATTCTTCGCACTTTTTAACATAAAAAAGCTCTCTTGTGAATTTTCGTTATAGTTAGCCGTTTTTGAGATATTCCGATTTTTAAGGTTCGATGCATTTTTAATTATTAATGATAAAATATCGTTAAAAAGTCAGTATCTCGATAATTTTTAGAAGTAGGCTGTGCCTGCAAATATTTTTGAAATTGAAAGCAGAATAAGGTTAAACGTCGATTAGTTGACAGTTAGTTTTGTTGTCTGTTGAAACCTGAAACGTTTTTTTGCAATTGTGAATGCATGAAATTTACTTTCTATTACCTGTTTTTTTTTTGTAAGTTTTGTAAAAATGCCATTTTTATTCTCCAATACAAGAGTTAGCGGATATTCATTTTGTGTATGGCTTTGTAAATGGAAACGCAGCAGAAGCAGCCAGAGAATACGCACGAAGATTTCCAAACAGACGACATCCAACTCGCTCAGTATTTGTAAGAGTGCATCGCCAAATAATTGAAAATGGTTTTGGAAATCTCCAAAGGGATCAAAACATAAATGTTCGTCAGCGCAGATTTACCCGTATGATTCTGCGTGAGGTTGATAGAGATCCGACCACAAGTGTTAGGAGAGTTTCTGGTGCCTTGGGAATTTCAGCAAGCCATGTTCACCGTGTTCTTAGAAATGACCATAGGCGCCCTTACTATTTGCAACCTGTGCAAGGACTACAGCCAGGGGACGGAGAACGAAGAAGAATCACATTTTGTCAGTGGATTCTTGATAGAACTGATAATAATAGGGAGTTTTTAAGTAACGTTTTATGGACCGATGAGTCATGCTTCACTAGACGTGGAGTGGAAAATTTTCATAATCAACATATTTGGTCGCATGAAAATCAGCATGCAGTTCGGGAAAGAAATTTTCAGCATGAATTTAGTGTGAACGTGTGGATTGGTATCTACCGTAATCGACTATTTGGACCCTACCTTTGCCTGCAAGGTTAAATGCTGCGACCTTCTTGGAATTTTTAAAGGCCGAACAAGCAAATCTGTGGGATGATGTTATGTTAGATTTAAGAAGATTGGCCTGGTTCCAGCTTGATGGTTGTCCAGCTCATTATTCGAGAATAGTTAGAAACTGGCTGGACGAAAATTATCCAGAAAGATGGATCGGCCGTGGAGGACCAGTCGCCTGGCCTCCACGATCCCCTGACCTAAATCCATTAGATTTCTTTGTGTTAGGATTTCTAAAAGAAAAAGTGTACCAGACTCCCGTAACCACAAGAGATATGCTAATAGACAGAATCAGGAATATATGTGATGAAATAAGGCCTTATTTGAATAATGCTATACCACGTTCGATCATTCGTAGATGTGAATTGTGTATTGAACAATTGGGTTTACATTTCGAGCAACTACTTTAGATTCTGTATGTTTGTCCTAACTAGCCAATAGCATTTTAGTTGTAAATAATTAATTTAATTTGTTAAAAATAATATTGGAAAATTAAACAAATTAATATTCTGTTTTTTTGTGTTTATTTGGAGTTAGGAATTATTGCTGTGTTTAAAAACACAATCTAAACGATCATCTTAATTACTTGTAATGCCCAAATCGAAAATGTAAAAAAAAATATTATTTAGCCAAAAATAATTAAAAATGCATCGAACCTTAAAAATCGAAATATCTCAAAAACGGCTAACTATAACGATAACCCACAGCAGAGCTTTTTTATGTTGAAAAGTGCGAAGAATCAGTTAGTTTATTCAAAAAGCAAAAAATTGCACTAAGAAAAAATTTTCGGTCATTTTAATACACTACAGGTACAGTAGAGAGCGCCCTCTAGCGGATATAGTAAAACTATGCTCATGGTTCGTTTTGTCGTACCAAAAAACCCTTGTATACCAATTTTCACTGTTATACATCAAATATTGTTCAAAATATTTAAAAAAAAACTATTAAATTTCGGAAGCTACGCATTTTGCGACCCATGTTTATATAGACTTTATGCATTAATTTTAAAAGTTCCATCGAATCTTAAGGTTATGCAACAATAAACTGAAACACCCTGTATATATAACATATTACCATGAAATTAAGTGAAACTAAAAGTCATAATTTTTGGCTCTTTTCCGGCCGCCACTGCAGCGATTTTCAAAAACTACCAAGCAGTTTCGTCCTTGGCATAGTAGCATCGCTGGCGCTGGGTGAAAATTTCATCATCTAAGCGATACTTTCCAAGTTATAGACGGGCCAAGGATTAGCGGACAGACATGCAGATAGATAGGCAGACCGACAGACTTATCGAAATGAATAACATGGTTTCCCGAGATATCCATCTAAAAATCATAACATCTCATTTTCAAAAATTATCGCGATTAGAATACTAGGTAAAAATGATGCATAACTTTCGAGAAATTAGCATTGTGTTATGCAAAAACAGAGGAACGGTAGTTTTTGGAAGCATCTAACTCGATTTCTACCACCCATGAAATGAATGTAAAACAGGTGCATTCTCTACGTGTACCCTTATTATTATTATCGCGGCAACATAATGTGTTCTTATATTACTAGATACATACAGTTCGTATTAGGCACTGTATACATAGCGTCCATTTTGGAATTGTATATCTAGATACACTTATGGCTCCAGCAACACATTTTAAACTAACAGTTTTTTCTACTCGACGTGAACGTAACATATTATCGCTCCTGTTTTATTATTAAAACCTCCGCAAATTAGCATTACAAGGTGAGGGAAATAAGTAATTGAACTGTATAACGTAATGACCGGTTCATTAATATTCTGTACAACAATCTTATTTGCTTCTAGATGTTACAATGACCGAAAGCCTTGGTCGGGGTCGGGCTACCTTGCTACGCGTGTTCAATAATTTCTTTGCGGATCATTCGTTTATTGAAACTTATGTTTCCCAAAAATAAATGAGATTTAACATTGAAATGTCAACGTGGTTAAGGCATGTGTGTATTATCTATATCAGGGAGTGATGAACGAGTAAATACGAGCCCCTTCCCACTTCAGTTGGCCCAACTATTGAAATCTTAGTTTTTTTCTTATCAAACACAAATAATAAAAATGTAGACGGGTGTTATAGGTTTAAAATATTAACAATGAATATTTTGATATTATATAGTAGAAAACACCAACTTTATCACTCCCTAATCAAATTTGCAGCATAAAAATAACACATGTTGCAATTACAGCATGTCAACCTATTTTCATTTCAATGCAAAATAAGTCTATAACGCATAGGTGGCTGTGAAAAATAAAAGCCATGACAATTGTTTTTATTAATCACAGCTGTCAGAATACGTTTAAAATAGTTTTGGGTAGTTAAGGTTTTCACAATGGGTAGAAAAAAGGTTATTAGTGAGAAAATTCGGTTACTGATAATTAAATTTTTTAATTCTGGGAAATCAAACTCAGAAATTGCAACTTTGTTAGACTTATCGCGGTACAGTCTGAGAAATATTGTTAGAAGATATAACGTACCTAACTGGTTCAGTTAATATTAAGCCACGATATGTGAAAAAAAGTAATATCACAAATGTCGACCGAAGAGCATTAAGAAGAGTAATCGTGAAAAACAGGCGTGCTAATTATTTACCATTAAGTGCTATGTGGAGTGACGATGTTGGTAGGAGAATTTCGAGGTTCACAACTCATAGAGAGGTCCACAAACTGAGATTTAGCACTTGCAAGGTAAGTTTTCTTATAAAACAAAGTGAAGTAAAAACCCTAAAGTTGCACAACTTGTTTATAGGCCAAAGAAAAGCCACTATTAACTCCACAGCAAAAGAAAAATCGGCTTAGATGAGCTAAAGTGCCGACCAAGGATAAGGCGAACGAAGGTACTCGGTGAGCAAGGAAAGTCACTACCAAAATAGTGAAAAGTTATGTGTCGCAGCCGTGTCCACGATCCTCGAAACTTCTGCAGCATAACTAACGAATTTACACCACTTATACTAAGATTATTGGCCTTAAGGGACCGTTTCTCCACTACCAGGTTCATTGCAAATGAATGGTTTGCAGAACACGGAAGACCTATTGGCATGCGAAGTGTTTACCGACGAATGAGAAGTTTTGGCTTGTTTTCATACCGGCCACACTGGGTCCTCCCTTTAACTCGAGAACACCGACGTAATCGCCTTGAGTGGTGCAGACAACGGTCACTCTGGGATCAGGAATGGAACAGTATTGTCTTTAGTGACGAGTCTCGATTTTGTTTAGGCATGCACGATGGTCGTGCCAGGGTTAGAAGGCGACGTGGTGAAAGGAGGAATCCACAGTTTTTTGTTGAAAGACATGTTCATCACACTGTTGGAGTTATGGTTTGGGGTGCTATAGCTTATGGTTCCAGATCACCTTTAATCTTCATCAGAGGTAACATGAACGCGCAGCGTTATATCCACGAAGTTCTAGAACCCCATCTTTTACCCTATCTTGACACCCTGGCAGATCCAACTTTCCAACAAGATAATGCCCGACCACATGTTGCAACAGTCACAATAGACTTCTTTCAACATAATGATGTCACATTGTTACCATGGCCACCAAGATCTCCCGACTTATCCCCAATTGAGCACGTGTGGGATATGATGGGTAGGAGATTGCTCAATTTGCAACGTCCTCCTCAGACTCTAGAAGCACTTCGAGAGGAGTTGGCCTGGAATGAGATACCACAGGAGGACATTGACCACCTGATCAGAAGCATGCCTAGGCGCGTTGGAGAATGCGTAGCACATCAGGGTGCATCCACACATTATTAAAGGTCAAAGGGCTTTAAAGCAGTGCAATCATTTTGAAATTTTTATCATTTACTTATTATGCTTCATTAAGTACTTATACAAAGTTTTATTAAAATAAAACCATTTAAACTGGGTGTTCGGATTTATATGTCACTTAGTATATTTTGGGCATATTAATGATGATAAATTGTCAAGTTTACAGTTGCTGAAATTAAATGCTGATAACTTTGTGGCGAATGTTGTTGATTGGTTATGGAAAAATTTATTACGAGTATATCTCTTGAGCTACGAACGATAACTGGCGGGTCTGTTGAAATGTAGGGAATCTCTATTTTATACAGGGTGTTTCAGAATTAAGGGATCAAACTTCTACGGGTTATTCAGTGTAATAGTAGAAAACATTTGAGTAAAGGGACATTTTTCCGGATATGTCACCAGCACTACGGCCCTAAGACGAGTTAAAATTTGGAAAGACGATGAATTGCCTAAATAGGAACTATTGCATTTAATTTTTGCCTTTTGTACATGATATCATCGCAACAATTGTTCAAAATGTCTTCCTCCAACTTTTCAACCGTAACTTGGCGGATTGCATCTCAATTCTCAGATTGTTTTATCACAGATCTGATACACTACGCTGAATGCAAAAACAAATTGAATAAAATCACCAACATTGAAAACTGTGTATAATTATTTTCCTATTACATTAGAAGTAAAATCCAATAACGTCTTTTTTATAGTCATGAACTATATTTGAGTCAATGAATAGAAAATACAGGGTGTGTACCTGTGCGAGAAATACGTTCTCAATTACTCGTAGTATAGCCTCCTTTTCCATTTAAGGTTTTAGGGTTGGTGTTAACGTGATTTTTTGCCAAACTTGTGTGTCCCTCGAAAACAAAATCGACGGGTCTGAGCGTTTTCCCAAAAAAAAACTGAGCTGCCAGTAAATGCGTCTGTTTCGTTTTCGATGCGCCACCCTGTATTTTACTACTGTTATATTTTGGCTTCCAACGCCTACAAGTGTAATCCAAATCATGGAAAATTTCGAACTGGTATCCAGCCATCCTGTCCTTCCTGATCTCTTAATAGCCATGCAATAAACGGATACCCATGGTGACATATTTATGATAAGAATAACGTAGGTAAAAAACTTAAACTCGCATTATTATACAAAAGCCAATTATCGAATTTAACACACTTTTTAAAATAAATATATTGTTGTTGCACAAAAACCGCCAACTTTTTGCGCAGGAAAATTGCATACATAGCGTATTGATTCGATAATGACTGGAAAACTGTTGCGACATATCTATACTAAAATGAATCTAGAAAAGAAAATAAATGGTGTAAATTTGTCGGTTATGCTGCAGAAGTTTCAGGGATCGTGGACACAGCTGCGACACATAACTTTTCACTATTTTGATACTGACTTTCCTTGCTCACCGAGTACCTTCGTTTGCCTTAACCTTGGTCGGCACTTTAGCTCATATAAGCCGATTTTTCTTTTGCAGTGGAGTTAATAGTGGCTTTTCTTTGGCCTATAAACAAGTTGTGCAACTTTAGGGTTTCTTTTTATAAGAAAACTTACCTTGCAAGTGCTAAATCCCAGTGTGTGGGCCTCTCTATGAGTTGTGAACCTCGAATTCTCCTACCAACAGCGTCACTCCACATAGCACTTAATGGTAAATAATTGGCACGCCTGTTTTTCACGATTACTCTTCTTAACGCTCTTCGGTCGGCATTTGTGATATTACTTTTTTCCACATATCGTGGCTTAATATTAACTGAACCAGTTACGTTATATCTTCTAACAATATTTCTCACACTGTACCGCGATAAGTCTAACAAAGTTGCAATTTCTGAGTTTGATTTCCCAGAATTAAAAAATTTAATTATACTAAGTGACATATAAATCCGAACACCCAGTTTAAATGGTTTTATTTTAATAAAATTTTGTATAAGTCCTTAATGAAGCATAATAAGTAAATGATAAAAATTTCAAAATGATTGCACTGCTTTGAAGCCCTTTGACCTTTAATAATGTGTGGATGCACCCTGATGTGCTACGCATTCTCCAGCGCGCCTAGGCATGCTTCTGATCAGGTGGTCAATGACCTCCTGTGGTATCTCATTCCAGGCAACCACCAACTCCTCTCGAAGTGCTTCTAGAGCCTGAGGAGGACGTTGCAAATTGAGCAATCTCCTACCCATCATATCCCACACGTGCTCAATTGGGGATAAGTCGGGAGATCTCTCAGTATGTTGAAAGAAGTCTATTGTGGCTCTTGCAACATGTGGTCGGGCATTATCTTGTTGGAAAGTTGGATCTGCCAGGGTGTCAAGATGGGGTAAAAGATGGGGTTCTAGAACTTCGTGGATATAACGCTGCGCGTTCATGTTACCTCTGATGAAGATTAAAGGTGACCTGGAACCATAAGCTATACACCCCAAACCATAACTCCAACAGTGTGATGAACATGTCTTTCAACAAAAAACTGTGGATTCCTCCTTTCACCACGTCGCCTTCTAACCCTGGCGCGACCATCGTGCATGCCTAAACAAAATCGAGACTCGTCACTAAAGACAATACTGTTCCATTCCTGATCCCAGAGTGACCGTTGTCTGCACCACTCAAGGCGATTACGTCGATGTTCTCGAGTTAAAGGAGGACCCAGTGTGGCCGGTATGAAAACAAGCCAAAACTTCTCATTCGTCGGTAAACACTTCGCATGCCAATAGGTCTTCCGTGTTCTGCAAACCATTCATTTGCAATGGACCTGGAGTGGAGAAACGGTCCCTTAAGGCCAATAATCCTAGGCGGCGATCTTCACGGCCTGTTGTTCTACGGCGGCGTCCAGTGCCCCTTGCTCTTTGCGTACGGCCTTCTCGAAGCCATGCCTGACAACATCTAACCACAGTGTCTACACTTCTTTGCACTTCAACTGCAATTGCCCGAAAAGAAAGTCCAGCTTCCCGAAGTCCCACTATACGGCCCCTATCAAACTCACTAAGTTGACGAAATCGTACAGGTCTCCGTACTCTAGGCATCG